AAACTGCCTACCCGCCAAAGCAGTGAATGCTAAGACAGTGTAACGGTTCTATTGTTACGTAAAGTATGGTGACAAATAAACACAGACACTAAGATACTATATATATATTTGGTCGAATATACAGAAGTACACAGGTGATACTTTGGTGTGAGTTGAGCGCACTGAGCGTCGGTACAGTATCTCGCAAGTGTCTGCTCTAGACCACACTTGAAAGTAGACTAGTTAATGTTTGCTATTCTGCTGCTTATATGCTCGGGCAACACCTCACCGTGTTGCCCGGGCAACGCCTCACCTCATTCATCTCCAAAGGTTGACAGGAATATTAACAATGCATTTGGAGCGAGTATATTATTGGGATAATCTACTCGCTACAACAGTACTGTTCTTTAGTTCAAAATCCTGTTGGAAAAAATCCTCGTGAGGAATGAGGGAACCTTTGAGAAGCTGTGGGCTTCCTGTCCTCCCATACATTTGAAATTAAAATTGTTGAGATTGGTAATATTTTGACATTTGTTCAGGTTTTAAATAATTTCAAATAATATTAATAATTTATTAACCTCTGTAATATGAATTTAGTTGTCATATGGAACAATGTAGAACTGATTAAACACAATGTAAGACAACAGGAGGTACCTTTTTTTTCACGGTTATAAACCCATGGAACTGCCTACCCGCCGAGGCCGTAAATGCCAAAAGTTGAATTTGACATCTTTAAATCTGGATTTGAAACGCAATGCAAGACCTGTCTGTGTCGGGGGACAAGAAGCCAGGTTTGGCTTATACCGAGGTTCCCCCTCCCCCCCCCCTTATGGGTCGAATTACTGACCCCGCCCAGGATGCATTAAGCCCCACAAGCTGACATAGGACAGTTTGACCTATGGCAGTTTTGACTAACAATAGTTCCTAGTACTTATTTACTGCTAGGTGGACAGGTGCATTAGGTGAAATGAAGTGTGCCCCAGCATTTCTGTCCCGCCCGGGATTCGAATCCGGAATTCTCGATCGTGAGTCGAGAACGAACCCAACCCGACGGGTCCGTCTAATTACCACAAGCTACACAAGCTTCAGAAAGCTTCAGAAAGCTTCCTGGCAATACGTTAGTAATGAATAAATATGATATGTTAGGTTAGGCTGACCTAACCTAAACTAACCTAACCTAACCTAACTTAACCAAACCAAACCTAACCTAACCTAACCGACGCTTGGATCGTTGACTTTATTTGGCGTCACCAGCTCTTTATTTTCGTCTAATTTCTTAATAAAAATATACTTTTTCAGATTAAAATTATGTTTTCTCGTGTTTACTGACGCTTTTCTCGTGTTGTACATTCAGCACCAGCATTATAATGAGTAAATATATCATATTATTCATTACTAACATAGCTTTCTGAAGCTTGCGTAGCTTGTGGTAATTAGACGGGCCGAACCCAACTGTACGTCTGCCGGGACTGGGTCCGTAAAATTACCCAAAGCCTGCTAGCATTACGTAAGTAATGAAGATATATGGTATATTTACTCACTATAATGCTGGTGCTGAATGCAGAACATGATCAAACCAATTTTTACTCTGAAATAATATAATTTCATACAGAAATTAGAAGTAAATATGTGGCAGGTGACACCATAGGAAGTCGAGGATCTAGGCGACAATGTTGTGGAGCGACTTATTCAAGAAATATGGTCGCCTGAAGGTCGGTCTGACCCCATTAGTACGCGTTGATGTCCCCGCCGCGAAGATGTCCAAGTACACATTTTACTGTTGCGTTAACAGAGGCTACATTGAATTTTGTAACTAGCTCATCAAGATTGTAACTTGCTTAATATATAAAGGTTTATATATTAAGCAAGGTTTATATATAAATATATGGGGTTTAGTCCCTGAGCCCATTATGTGCCTCTGTAACCCTTTCTTCTACCGCCCACAAGATGGGTATGGGGTGCATAATAAATGAACTAAATTAACTGTGACGTATTGCCGCCTTCGTACAGTTGGCATCCATGTGATGTACTGATGCCTGTTTTAAGGTTAATTAGCATATATGCAAAATAAGTACACAATTGATTGGCTGGGCTTCACACTCCCTGAGCTAGCCATCAACTATTAAAAGGCGTGTATCTTCGCTTTCACTTCAGTTAACTTTATGCCAAAGTATTTAAAATATAATGTATTTAATGTAGCTAATATTTCTGTTTTTCTGATGAAATAGAAAACTTCGTTTATTACAGTATATAGATAAATCTAACGTTGATCTTCGAAAGGTCGAAGTTCCCATCGATAGGAAGAACGTCGGCCAAGAAACCTTTAAAATATGAATATCTTTCCTCTCTAATACGATGAAATCTCTGTGATGGATTCACAAAAACTATTTTATCTCTGCCTTTCTGATAACATATACAAATGTAAGCTTTACTTGTGAATTTCTATTAATTAAGCAATATATCAGAGAGCGTGTAGGGTTCGGTGTTCTATAAGCGAAAAAAGATATGGGTAGTTTCAGTAGCGAACGCACGCCAACGAACAACGTTAGTATCTATATAACAAAATTAATGTCCTATGAAGTTGATTTAACTTCCAGATACGTCTTTTAAATAAATATTAAATGTTTTTTGTGGCTATTTATGCTAGATATTATTATAAATACGCATTCTAATTGTTAATATCACCAATTAAATTTGCGACAATTTGAGCCAAGAAGTGCGACGATTGGATCACTGTGTACAGGAGGATAAACCATGGATAAACCATGGTACCATGGATAAACTACCTGAAATCCTTGCACTGTATACCCATTTCGCTTCCAGCAGATAAACGACATATGAGATTCAGAAACAAGTAGTGTATTGTGAGGACTAATGATAAACAGAAGCTCCCCTATGACTCTGTAATATCCCCATTGGTCAAACTATTATGTATTAGCGATAAGACGTACCATTAATGTATCATGACTTACTGTAAATATATAGCACTTGAAATAGCACTTTCTCTGTAACTAGCTGACATTGTAACTATGTGAAGTGTGAAGGATAGATGAAATTGTTTATGTAATCTAAGATGAAGTTTGATAAAGACCTTTTGTGCCCTCTGTAATGCTTATTGCGCTACCGCTCACAGGATGAGTATGGGGTGCACAATAAACTAGCCGCCTTCGGCGGCAACAGTCAGGGGGTTGACATGCCAGCAAACACTCTCCTGGCGACCATATATCTTGGATAAGTCGCTCCACAACATTGTCGCTTGGACCCTCGACTTCCTATGGCGTCACCTGCTACATATTTATTTCTAATTTCGTTATGAAATAAAATTATATCAGAGTAAAAATAGGTTTGATCATGTTCTGCATTCAGCACCAACATTATAGTGAGTAAATATACGATATATCTTCATTACTTGCATAATGCTAGCAGGCTTTTGGTAGCTTTGAATGGCTTTGGGTAATTCTACGGACCGCCGGAGTAAATATATCATATATATGCGGATTTTTTTTTTTTTTTTTTTTTTTTTTTTTTTTTTTTTTTGAGATATATACAAGAGTTGTTACATTCTTGTACAGCCACTAGTACGCGTAGCGTTTCGGGCAAGTCCTTAATCCTATGGTCCCTGGAATACGATCCCCTGCCGCGAAGAATCGTTTTTTCATCCAAGTACACATTTTACTGTTGCGTTAAACAGAGGCTACAGTTAAGGAATTGCGCCCAGTAAATCCTCCCCGGCCAGGATACGAACCCATGACATAGCGCTCGCGGAACGCCAGGCGAGTGTCTTACCACTACACCACGGAGACTGTGATGTATTCATTACTAACGTAATGCCAGGAAGCTTTGTGTAATTAGACGGACCGGTAGAGAGTACTGAACTACCGAGATTAGTCTATATTTACCTGAGGGCCACTCACTCTGTATTGGCCTCGATGAGGACAGGAAGCCGGCGACTTGTCAAAGGCCCTCCCATTTGTCCTGAATATTTTTTTGTGCAACTTTCAGTGAATGATGGATGAATGAATATATAAGTAGTAATGGGTCGTTAAGGTACACATTCTGGTAGATGAGTAGTATATTCTTGCAAAGCCACTAGCACGCATAGCACGAGGCAGGTCCAACAAATGAGCGCAATGATAGGTGTACATTGTAACAGAATTTGAATTCACATGATAAGTACATCACATACATACACATTCACTGCCTTCTTACACACCACTTCCTCCCCAGCAGTGCCTTACTGCATCCTGTACATGTTGTTCACTCGCTTTCCGCTTCCTACTGAGTGCAAGCTCTCCCACCCTCATTAAACTGAAGTTAGTTTAGTTCATTTATTATGCACCCCATACATGCTAAGTGACTTTAATGACTATATTAAGTAGGCTTGTATACCTATTCTATGTAAGTAGGGGCTTTACGTTACTTCTTTACGTAGGGGCTTTATAATTACTTTTACGTAAGTAATTATAATCAGGAGCATGAGATTATAATTATTATTATTATAATTATTGCCATATGAGTATTATGATAATTATCATTAGTATAATTTAGGTCCCGTTGTCGGGGACATGTCGTTTTAGATTCATCTTCTCGGAACAAAAAAGTTCTAAGCAGCATGGCCTATGGTGAGCCCGTCGTACTTACCTGGCACAGGAGATGTGTATGTGTGTCGGGGACAGGAAGGTTGTAAATATATACTCATATGTTAAGCTCATATTGAGGTCTCCCTCTCCTCCTGAAGGTCAACTACTGATCCTCCGGATATCAACCCCCACAACAGTTGACTAACTCCTGGGTACCTAATTGGACAGGGCCATGAGATAAAAGAAAACGTGCTTAACCATTTTTGTCCCACCCGGTTATCGAATCAGGGGTCATTATGGTTAGTATGGTTATCATTATGTCATTATGGTTATCATCATCATTATTTTTATCATAACTGGGATGATTTATTAATAAATATTATGGTGGTGAGAGTATAAGTGTCGAGGTGGAGGGAGGCGGTCACGGCGTCTATTGCAGGTGTTTGTTTACGTGTGCACGGGAAGGGCGGCGCCGATGAACGCTGGGCCTCACACTCTGCCCAGACTGTTCCTGCAGGCCACACCACCCGCCCTTCCATGGGGCTCTACCCGCAGATATGTTCTACCAACCGCTTGTGCCGGATTCTCCTCCTGCCAGTGAGCCGGGGGAGTGGGAGGTGAAACTAAGGGAGAGGTCGCACTCTAGTCCTGGGGCGAGTGGTAGGCCCCGCAACTGGTCCAGAGCTGCTGACAGCCTCCACAAGATTGAAGAGAAGGATGAGGCTGCCGACAAAAACTCCAGGAAGGAGTATAGGTTGTCGGGGTATCTTTACAAGTTGTCTGGAACGTCCAGCAAGAGGCACGTCCCTGGTCTCAAGAGCTTGGGCAGCTCCCACAAGAAGCGGTGGTTCGTGTACTCTGACAGTGTGTGTAAGTTGTATTACTACAAGCAGAAGAATGATCCCGAGCCTCTTGGAATGATCGACATATCGTTGGCAACATTTTTCTTTGACCCAGTGAATAAAAATGAAGGACAGTTTACTATTCGGTAAGATTCTATATAGTTGGTACATCAGTATGTTTTATATTGTACACAATGTTACGATTAACAAAATGAGGTGATAGTTTCCTTGCTACCTTGTCGCAACCTATTGCTAACCTCCCTACCTCTTTACTAGACATAATCTTCCTGGATAATCCTATGCTGATGTGCATTAAAAATGCTTGAGTTATTGTGAACGTTTTTCTGCACTTGATGAATATCTTGTAGGAAAATAGTTTGTAAATGAAATGCCTTCTAATATGTCCTAAACTTAGCATATATATATAAATTAAGTTTATTGGAATGACTGATAACCAAATTTGCTGTCTAGTGGTTCAGTCCAGCCAGCTGGTTGTTTATCTTCAATCTGAGGATGTAGGAAAGTTTGCTGCATTGATGGCTTTCTTTGTTATTTTGTCTATAGCTGATATTCAGAGTCAGGCCTTTAGTGACAATTCTGTTGATATCCTCATATTTTTAGTTGGGTGTCTTTCCCTCTTGCCATTTTTGTGTGTGCTTGGGTATGTGGTGTGTGCCTGCCACTCTTAGCCCCTGCCTTTCTTCTTACATGGGTCAGACCAGTCCTCCCCTTATGTTTCTTGGAAAAGCCAGCCTCCATTATTGAGGTGCCATTGTGGATAAACTTAGGGAGGCATGGAAAGGCCCCTTCCAGAAATAAAGCATTGAAATTAATGAAATGCCCTTTACTGTTGGGGCCTCTTGTGGCTACTTGTCTCTGTCTATTTTTTTCTTCTCCACTGGGTTGGGATTTTTACATGGGGAACTCCAGAGTGAGGGGGTAGGCTTGTGGGGACCGCAGGAGATTTGGGCACATCACAGTCGGGGTATTTATACCTTGGAAAACAATCGTTTGTCTTGGTTGCACAAGGGCAGGTGACAGAAGTCTCGAGAGACATGTTGTGTTGGACTAAGGCTTTGTGGTACCCAAGTTAATCTCTGGTAATCGCTTGGGACCTACCAGAAGAGCGACATTTCATTACATTCAATGCTTAATGTTTTGCCAGCTAGTTAATAAATCGACCAGTCAAGAAATTAGCCAATCAAATAGGCTTTATTTTGTATGGCCATCAATACATATACAAATATAAATTCTATCCTTGGTGACAAGTGATATGAAAACAAAACTTTTTGGGTCCAAAAGTAAAACATTGACAAGGCAATTTACTAACTTTCATAATATCAACTTCCTAGAGCAGGGGTTTTTAACTTGGGTCCATGAACCCTCCCCCTGCCAAGATTATTAGAGGTTCTGCAAAAAATAGTGATAGGCTAATTCTAATCATATGTACAGTAAATGTATTTTTGAGTCTTTTTGTGTTTAATTGTTTACATTTAACCAGAATCAAGAGCAAAGACAGAAATCGTCTCCTTTCAGTAGACAATGAAATCGGTGTATTTTTATCTAATGTATGACCCATAATTATTTTAAGGGTTAAAAGGCTGAGAAAGCCCTAGAGGCTATGTGGTAGTCCATATTACAACAGTAAATTTAGTATATACTATAGCAACAATAACAGTATTACTGTACTGTATAAACATTAATTTTGTACAAATGCATGATGCTAGCTGTATTTGTATTTAGTGTATTTTTATTCCATGAATGATTTTCACCATAACCCTTTGTCAAAATGTAAATTTAAATGTATGAGGTGTTAAAGTATGTGTGAAAATTATACCGATTCCAATTGAGTATAATATTGCAAAAAAATATTAAAAATACACTGATATTAATCCATTGGTAAATGTCTCTTGTTTTATATTTCACCAAGATTTCTAGAGAGATTGAGGAAAGTGTACATAGTTTTTAATGAAATCATTGGTTGTACAGTCTGTGCATCTATTTAAGGTGTGGTAATGATGAGACGCTCTTGGAGGCATCATCGTCAAAGAGCCGAATGTACTGGCTGCAGCAGTTACAATCAGCACGCAGAGAGTTTAGCCAAAGACGCACTGCTACTAAGACTCCAGCTAGCCGAACTACTTCTACTAGGGTATAAATTTTAATGTTTTCATTCTGCATTATTGAAGTGTACAGTTGTTACTAAAATTAATATGAAATTACTGTAGTGTGATGGAAAAATACAGTACTGTATTAACAAAGAATATTGAATGAATATTGCATTAGTGTCAGCGAGGCATCATACAGTGGGACCTCGCTTAAACAAACTATATGGGACGAGGCCACCTTGTTCCATTAAGAATTTTGTTCAACCCATCAAACCCCACACAATCCCTACCCCCACCCTAGAATATAAAATAAGAGGATGGGCCTACATCAACTATAATGCATATAAATGATTGTGATTTACCTTACCAGAAGAGTAGTGTAGTGAAATAACTTCATAATATCCCTGAAGCACATTTAGGTAAGCATGAATCCATCATGACCCATTTTTCTTCAAGTATATATTATAGAAAAAGTCATATAAAATTGATTTATCTATTCATCATTTTGACCATGACACATAATTGCTCAATCAATGGCAAACAATTTGATATAAAATTTGAAAAAAATTAATTTATTATGCGTTTTTCATTTTGACCATGGCATATGATAGTGATCATTGGGGAACAACGTATCAAGATGATATAATCAGTATACTGTATGATAATATTATTGGAACTAAACATATAAAACAATTAAAAACTTCTTCACCAAACTTTGATGAGGGAGGATGGGAGAGAGGAATTGACTTCCACCCACAAGGGGCCTGACAGCTGAGTGGACAGCACTTGGGATTTGTAGATCTGAGGTTCCGTGTTGGATCCCCGGTGGAGGCGGAAACAAATGGGTAGAGTTTCTTTCACTCTGATGCCCTGTTCACCTAGCAGTAAATAGGTACCTGCTAGTTAGACAGCTGCTACATGCTACTTCCTGGGGGTGTGTAACAAAAAGGAGGCCTAGTCGAGGATCGGGCCACGGGGACGCTAAAACCCAAAATCATCTCAAGAGAACCACCCTCTCACTCCCCACACTTGCCTGTCAGCTGACACTTTTGATTCGTCATGCCCGGCAGCTTAGACCATGCTTTTGTGTCATAAATTTTCTCTCCGGTGGAAATGTATTTTGACTTTAATTAAAAATCTTCAGCATATGGCACTCCAGATATCTTGTTAAAAAAAAAAAAAGGAAAATTACAATGCAGATAATGTGATAATTACCAATATATTATTGATTCGGCAAAGTAAATAGTATTGTTGAACATATGTATTAACTCATGGCCTGGAAACAATTTTATATTTTTTTTTATGTATAGCTTAGAGCTGTTATTGTCTGTCAGTAATACTTGTTTAAATATTTATCGTATTTTTGTTGGTTTTTTTATTAGTACTGTATTTAAACTTGACTAAAATTTCTTTGGGTATTGACAGTTGGTAGTAACACATCATAATAATTGATTCACTTTTGGCTGCTGAATGAATATCTTTTTTAAATATTTGTAGTTTATAATATAATTTGTAAAATATGTCATTCAGTATTTTCATTTAAAAGTTTTTAAGCACTACAATAGTTTACACCTGGATTAGGTGAATCATAGATGATGATTGACAGCTGCCTCCAGATGCTCAGCGTCGGCAACAGCTTGGATGAATAATCCTCATTTAATTTGGTATTTTTATGTTCTACTGAACAATTTGCACTGAGCACAATCAGTTCAGACCATCCAGAAATTTGTTAGAGCAAGGTTTGTTAAAGCGAGGATCTGCTGTACAGTACTTTGTGCTTTATTTATCTTTTGACTAATAATGTTTGGAAATTGAAGCGACCAGTATCTGGGCTACTGCAAGATAACAAGAGTGGTGATGTTCCGACTCCGGATCCTCACCATGACCTCCTTGCACCAATGACATTCCCTCCTGACTCTGGGATGAATGATCTACCCCCTCGATCAACTTCTGCACTAACTGATGCTCGATTAGCCCTGTCAAATTTGCTTCCTAATACTCAACGCAAGATTTTTAAAACTAATAGTGAATGTAAGTAAACCATTTTATCATTAGTGCAAATTCTCATCAAAAGATAGATTTTCAGCAGGACTTCATGATATCATTTATATAGCACGTGAAGAATTAAAATACACAAAATACAAGGACCTTTGGGAAGATCATTCTTAAAAACTGCAAGGGCAGGAACGACTTCTTCAATCAGATGAATGGAACAAAGAATGTTACACCTTCATTTCGTTTACATACAGAACTGTTTCTAATTAAGCTTGAGTAAAAGAGCCTTACTTGCACTTTTGGTTATCTCTACAGTCTTCCTAGCCATACCCTAGAAACCATTTACCCCTAGTCTTTCTCATGCAATCTTTTAGTCCTTCACAATGTTGAGATGACTAAATGTAGATACAATTGCTTTTAATCCAACTCAGAGTTAATTCAACTCTGTAGGCCACATATAGGATCTTTTCATCTATAGTTTAATTAATCCTCCCATATCATCTCTATCCCATTTCACTTTATTCCCTAGTTCTTCTCAAAGAACTAATTGGCTAGCTGACAATATATATATTGCACAATTCTTAAGGTAAATTACCAAATGATTTTACTGTCAAATTATATTTACAAAATAGTTTTATATTTAACATCAACATATATAACATCTTTTTGTTAAGTGGCTATTATTTTATAAATTTTGCATTTTGAAGGAAATTTTGTTGCTTTATGACAGTAATATAGTTAGGGAAAAGGGCAATTTTTGTAAGTTTTTATCCATACTGTATATTGTGCAGTATTTACTTGCCTTTATATATATATAAGAAAATATGGATGTTTGGTTATATCTAAAATTATAGGTTTTATACTCTTGTTAATTTCATCAATGCCTTTGAGGCATCATAGTGATAGTAATTTTATTTGATTAATGGGCTGACAAAACGTTTTGTTCTTGAGAAGCCGTCTTCACGTAGAAGACTAGACAAAACCCTAATATAATAAGACTGCCCTTCCTCCCTCCCTCCCTCTTTTACATGGGTGGGTTGGGTGCCTTAATATATTGGGGTTTAATATTGATTAATATTTTACATACAAAAGTACAGTACTAATTTTTTATGTAAAATTGTTGAAATATATGGGTGCAATCTGTCTTATGTATGATGCCTCTTGTATCCTTTCAAGTTTCCAATTTATTTTCAGTACTGCATTTCTTAAATTTTGATTTTGTTCAACTTTCCCATTTGTGTGTGTGTGTTGAGGCAACAGATTTTGGCAAAAGTTTCTTAGTACTGTACTATAGAAGAGAATGACAGCATCACTTACCCGAACTGAATTGACATTAAAAATTCTTTTTCGGTTTGTTTAAAGTGGTGTTTCAGGCAGTTTAAAAATTAAAATGAAGGCAGAGTTAATGGCTAGCATGGTAAAGGAAGACTACATCTGCAGTAGCCATTATGTATTGATAAAAATTGTAAGGTGTTGGTGAATGAATAAATAAATACTGTAAATTTTTTAATTCACTTTTTTTTTTTTTATCCAGCTCCCAAGTCTCCAACTAGTCCTCAGGCATCCAGGCATAGCCCTCTTAGTTCTCCCACGGATGATCTGACTCTCGGAAATCTTGGGCGAAAGCTTCGTAGCTCTTTTCGTGGGAGAAGATCTGCATCCTTGGAAGGGAAAGATGGATTTGATGTTCCCAACTTACATTCCAAATCTGCGTGCAGAAAATGTGAAGAGGTAACGATTTATAAAAGTTTATTTTGATATTTCTGCAATAAAGGCAGTTTTTACATTTAAGCCAGTAGGCAGGGTGGGTCTCCGAAGCCTGGTGCATCTTCCTAAAACTAATGCAGTATCTTGAACATTTCTGAGAGGGTCACCTCAGTAGCTCCCCCAAGATAAATACTGTCCCAGCCAAGCTTTAGGTAGATGCATCAGGCTTCTGAGACCCACCCTGCCTACTGGCTTTTGAGGGGAGCTTGAGGATCAGAAATCAACCTAAAACTAAAGAAAAAAATAGCACAAGTGAGAAAAATAATACAAATACTGCTTAAAGGAAATTTAGTATACAGAAGTAACAAGGTAAACACTTGTGAAGGGATAAGCACTCTTTGATGTGCCTGACCACCACCAGGTGGCAGTCAAGGACATAATGATTTTAGCCAGTGTGCCCCTCAAACTCACTTGATTAGTCACAAAATAGATTCACAAAAAAAAAACATATTAATGGCTCCCCCCAGTAGAGTGAGATGTTTCTGGAAAAACCAAGACTACTTGGCTGAAGGTTACAAAGCAATGTTAGGCCCAGCTTAGACTACACATGATGGATGGACTACACCAGTTGAAAGAATACGGGAGAGGGGGAGCAGGCTTAGACTATAGATAACTTGAGCTTCCCTCTGGTAGCAGTCAGGCTACATATCCTACAGTGTTAGGATATTTACCCCGTGGCAACAGTCATTTGCATAATTCTTCCGGGGTGCCTAATCTTCAAGAAGTCATTTTATGTTGGTGTGCCAATGCTTTCTGATGAATTTTGTGGTTGATCTCTGTTCCCTTGTTCCTCTAACTTTGTTTAGTGGGACAGACTCTTAACCTGCCTTCTGGTCGGTGACAGATGGGTCTCGGAAGTCTGGTGTTCTGCTTTGTGGTTTCAGAGGCAAGTTTTGGGAGCACAACAGAAAAGGTTGTTTGTTTTATTAATTCAACTTTTTATTTATTTATTTATTTATTTATGCATATACAAGAATGTACATAAGGAATGTGAGGATACAAATATGGTAATTACAGTCTTGTAAAGCCACTAGCACGCGCAGCGTTTTGGGCAGGTCCTTAATCTAAGAAAATTTTAAGGAGGTAAATACTTGCAAAATTTATAGACAAAAAAATGATAACAAATTACATGAAATGAAAAAAAAAGATGAGAGAAAATTGTAGGTACAGTATATTAAAGCACATAGGTAGCTAAGATTGATTGCAATGACAGCTTGAATGGTAGTTGACAAAAAATAGGTAGGCACAATACAGCAGAAACAATATAAGATTGATTGCAATGACAGCTTGAATGGTAGTTGACAAAAATTGGTAGTCACAATACAGCATATAGCTAGCACATAAAAGAAGACAGCAATGAACACAATGATAAGGTTGTTTGATATTACATAAAAATTAGGAGATTGGGTAACACTAGGTACAGAGCAAATTTAAAGCTCAGTGTAGGAAACTAAGAAGATGAAGTTAGGTACTTTTTGGTTTTGCTTTTAAATAAGGCAAAAGTTTTACAGTTTTTCAATTCACTAGGGAGTGAGTTCCATAGACTAGGTCCCTTAATTTGCATAGAGTGTTTACACAGATTAAGTTTGACCCTGGGGATATCAAAGAGATATTTATTTCTGGTGTGGTGATAATGGGTCCTATTACATCTGTCCAGGGAGAGTTTCAGAGCATGGTTTGCATTTAAGAACAGGGTTTTGTAAATGTAGTTGACACAAGAGAATGTGTGGAGGGAGTTAATATTTAGCAAGTTTAGGGATTTAAACAAGGGAGCTGAGTGTTGTCTGAAAGCAGAGTTAGTTATTATTCTGATAGCAGATTTTTGCTATATATTTTTATATATTTTGCTGATGGCAATCTTTTCATGTTTTAATTATTTAATTAGTGCAGTTTTGTCAAGACTGTAAATTAAGATTGATGTCTTTCCACATATTTCATACTGTAGTTAGTTTTAATCCTATAGCTTCAACGAGAAGTAACATCCGCTAAGGAAGATCTGACTGCTACTCAAGACGAATATCAAGCATCTCGGGAAGTTATAGACCTCTTACAGAAGGAACTTGACTCTCTACAACAGGAAAAAGCTACACTGTAAGTCAAGTTTTTTCAATATATCATAGTTAGGGTTTGTCAGTTATGTTTTGATTAGGGGTTTGAGTAATGGTTGTCGTGAGATGATTTCGGGGCTTAGCATCCCCGCCGCCCGGTCCTCGACCAGGCTTCCTTTTTGTTACACATTCCCAGGAAGTAGCCCGTGGCAGCTATCTAACTCCCAGGTACCTATTTACTGCTAGGTGAACAGGAACATCAGGGTGAAAGAAACTCTGCCCATTTGTTTCCGCCTCCACTGGGGTTTGAACCCGGAACCTCAGGGCTACGAATCCCGAGCGCTTTCAACTCAGCCATCAGACTTCAGGGATGGGAAGTGAGATTTGACTCCTTTCCTGGTTAATATATATTCTCGACTGGATGAGTTCTTCATAAATTGGATGGCTGCAGTATCTGGTTTTGTATCAAAGACAGGATTTATAGAATGAATGTGAGAAGCAGGTATACATTTTCTTTGCGGAATGTAAGTTATATAACAATAAGCCATGATATAAAATTAATGTGTTTACAGATCAAAGGCTGCAAATATAGGATAGAATTGAATTACTGTATCTATACCTAGATAATGCTTAATAAAAAAAAAATAAGTAGTTGACAGTATCATTCATAGGCTTCAGGGATCTAGAAAAGGTATAGTACATAAATAAATAGGGAAGTATTATGGACTGTAATAATAGTGTGGAATTGCTGGCTGGTCATGCAATGGGGAGGAGGGCGAGTGATGCGAAACAAATTACTAGTGGGAGAGAGAGTACTCTTGAACTCAATCTTCTGACCTCACATGAGTAGATAGTGGTCATCTATATAATTAAACATAGTCTAAAAGTTAAGTTAAAATGAGATGTCATTCAAGTGAGAATAAATAAAATATTTGATTAACTTTTTCCTGAACTTGCATTCATTATGGAAATACACAAATTCAGTATTAATGAATGTGCATGTGTTTTACTATAGTATATACATACCTCCTTTTCTTAATGTTTTGCTTCATGCAGGTCGGCGGTCAATCCCCAACCGTTCAAGTGGATGGGCACCATTCCCTTCCCTCCGTCTCCATCCCAAATCCTTATCCTGATCCCTTCCCAGTTCCCAGTGCTGTAAAGTCGTAATGGCTTGGCGGTTTTCCTTGATAATTCCCATCCCCCTTCTTAACGTTTTGATTATTTGACTGATTGACTCTCAAATTCTCATCTTGATTCTTTTAACCCAGCACTGTATTGATGTTTAAATGGTTTCAAGATAACAGCAAGTTGAACTCTAATCTCAAGGTTTTGCCCATATTTAGCATAAGTTTGGACCGAAGTGATCTAACAGACAGTCATGTCCTGGAGATATTGCGTGGAAAGGATCGCCACATTGTAAACTTGGAACACGACAACCAGAAGTTGACTAATGAGGTTGCCCGGCTCCAAGAACAGCTCTCTGATGCCCAGCTTCACGAGGAACGTCTTAATGAAAAGCTCTCTATGCTCACGTGCCTGATTGAGGTACGGTATTTAAAATCTTGGTTATAAATGTATCATTTACTATGTTATAAGAAAACATAAGATATGCATCAGTTTCAAGCAGAGTATAAGTGTATGACAGTATATATTTTTCCAGTTTAGCCATTTGTATTGTTTGTGCCATGGTATACATGCATGGGAATGATATACATGCATGGGAATGATATACATGCATAGGGAGTTGTATACATGCATAGGGAGTTGTGTGCATGTATGGTGCATGGTATATGTGCATAAGAGTAGTGTGGAGGTATAGGGAGTGGTACAGTATTGCATATATGAAAGAGTAGCATACAGTAGATATTAACAAATACTTACTCTTTCAGGCAAAGGATGAGGCTATAGTGAGCCTAACTCATCAGGTAGATGAAACTAATGCAGGCTCTCTCCCAGTATCCCCTCCACCAATGTCTGTTTTCAAAACATGTGATTTAACCACTCGAGGAACACAGACAACAGACACAGAAGAAGATGCTCTCAAAGATTCCCTTGAAGCTTATAGAAACCAAAACAGCTTTTTAAATAAGGAGATCCTTGAACTGAATCTCATCAGGAATCTTTCATCTGAGAGGGAGCAGAAGCTGATCAAGTATGTCAATCTGCTTGTTATGACTTAAAAGTTTTTTTTGTATCTTAATGTCCATTGTGCTTCTGTAAGACAGAATAGCTCATGTGGAACCTTTGCATGTGAGAGTGTAGGCACATGTTCGACCTTTCTATAGTGGTTACTCATATCTGGTAAGTTGGCCCTTTCTCATGAGGATATTTTATCTTGTGTTGAAACATTCCCATTTTGCATAATGAAATCACAATAGAATGATAAAGTTGAGAAAGTTGTGAAGTAATATGGTGGATATGAATTTGCGTCTCTTGGGTGAACAGAGATGCAAGTTCATTTGCAATGCATTGCTAAAAAAATATTTAATTTCCATTTTAATGGAAATTCCATTTTTCTTTTTCAAGCTCTTAATTTGTCATTCCAACAGTCATTTGCGTTGTAATTTTATCTAATTTTACATCTGACCATCCTGTAATATTTTAAGTTTTCCTTTGTAAGAAGAAACTAAGATAGTCCTTACCTTGATGTCCAAAGTTCTATTGAAAATTTTATTTTTGCATTTGTTGTCATCTTTGAATATTTTGATTCATGGTTGCTTAACTGCATATTATGTTGTCTCTTATTAAGTCACAGTTCTCATATTCCTGTACTGTATTTAACCACTGCTGGCTACTATACAGTCCCTGATGCAGTTACTCAGTCGTAGTGTTTGGTGGATCTCATTATAATTTTAATGAAATTATTGTACAGACAACTGCATGTTTTCTAGACGCCTTGGGACCAAGGCCTAACTAATAACCAAAAATAATGCTGTGATGACTCGTGGCCGTTTGCTGTCACCTCTTTATTTCACAATTTATTTGGACTGCTTGCTCTCACCACTTTATTATTAACTTTATTTGGACAATCCAGAATGAGAAACTGGTATATCCAAATAAGTAGTGTCTGTACCTAATGCGAAGTGGCTGATTGCTGGTCTGTAATTTAAATTTTTCAGTAAAGATAGGCTTACAAAATACTGTGTGTGTGTGTGTATATATACCTGTATACACATGCATTATTAATACCCCATTTCTCACTTTAAAGGGGTGGAGATAAAATTCTTTAGATAAATACATAATTAGCAAAGGTTCAAACTTCAAGATCTATTAAGAAATGCATTGTAACCAAATCAGATCAACACTATATTCATAAATGGTTGGACATTCATAACATATTTCTAGTTAATCTGCTTATACAGTATGTTAAGTGTGACCAACCTGCTTTTGTTACAGAGAATCAAGTGAATGGGAAGCCAAGTTTTATCAGATTCAGAGTAAATATCTCCTATTGCTGAATGAGTTGCATTCTCCTCGGGCAACTCAGCACGACCCATCCATTGTATCTCAGCTGCTGCAGGATGTGGTCGAAGCTCACGGGCCTCCAGATCTCAGGTAAGTCACAATAATTATGATAGCACAATAATCACTTTTATTTCGTTACTCTAAGCACTGGAACAATCCGGAGCAGGAACGAAACTTTCTAACTTTGGTGTGTCCTTTCCTACTCTTCCTTTCTCCTTTCCCCAGTACAGTACTGTACTTGTATTGCACACCTGGCTCTTGTCGATTTTGTTCCCCTTCCTTTACAGGGATCTTTGCAAATCGTCTCTAGACAAGTATGGAAGGGATATGAAGGTGCGTCAAGCCATTACCCAGAGACCAGCTCACTCCTATGCAAAAGAATGAGCAATAAGTGAAATGTGAAATATAACCCTGTTCATTATAATTTAAAAATCAAAGTTGCCCCTACTGCCAGCAGGTAGTTACCTACTTACCTTGTGGTTACCTTATGTTCCAAGAATCAACGTCCCTGGGGCTCGGTCTCTGATCAGGCCTCCGGGTTGGTGGTCTGGTCAAACTAGGCTGTTGGAGGCGGCTGCTTGCAGCCTGACACATTACAACCAGTGTTGGTGGAGCTGGCAGCTTTAACTTTGTGCCTGGTGTTTAGCCATTTCTCTCCTAGGCTCTATAGTGGCAAATCGGATAAATTTTTCTAATGGGTTTTATCTGACTGAATCTGTTGATTTTTTTTCAGTGTTGCTTTGAATGTTGTTAATCTGGTTGTGCTCAACTGATATGACATTTGAAGTTCACATCAGATCATCACTTGTGTGTTTTTCCTTTTTATCTTGACTTTTAATACAGTACAATACTAGTACTTCCTTCCTCATTCTCCCATCTACTATTCCATGATCTATTATTAATTTATGTTAATTTTCTAATATTGTTATTCCTTCTCTATATACAACTTTATTCCCTCTTTATATACAGCTATGAATTATCTCATTGAAGGCACAGAATGTCACAAAAATCTATAAATATGCACAAAATTAAAAAAAAATATATAGACTTAACAGTGGTCAATGAAGGTGGTTTGTAACTGATTCAATAATTATCACTTTTCAACGAGACCTTGATACCTGCAGAGTTATGCAAAACAAAGGTCGAGAGTATGATGAATACGGATTCTGCACTACTGCCCCCGATGGAGGAAGCTTACAGTCGAGAGCCAATTATCTCCAAAAGCAGTCTCAAGCTCTTGCCCATCAGGTGCAGGTAAATAAAAATAAAAAATTGTTTTCCTACATGGTTTCACTTTTGCTAATAATGTGTGCAGCTGTCTTAAAATACACTTTGTGTATTAAACCTTTAAGACATCTCTCTTATTTATGGGTTTTCTTTCTAGTGCTTCTATGGGTAGTAAGAAAAATAGCACTTACTGGGTAACATTTTGTTGTCATCTTTACCTGGTTTACTTGATATTTTATCTCGCAATCTTCATGAGGCTAGATACCCCTCTTTCCTATTTTTATTATATAGTGTTTTTTTTCTACATTGATTTCCATCTTACATTCTTTGTTATGTTAACTTGTGTAAATTCGCTTGATGAGAGATATAGTGATGAACTTTTTGTACAGTACGATTTTGTCTATTTTTCTACTTTGCAGTTCATTAAAATACATGCTCTTTTTATGGTTTTTTTTTAATGTTTTTTATGTATGCTCTTTTTTCAGTACAGTACTCTATCATTTAAGCTAGATTGTAATTAAAATTTTAATATGATATTTTGTTGCAGAATAGTGGGAGCTCGTGGGAAAGCAAATGGGAAAGCTTCCTGGCAGGTACGAGTGCAAAGGAGCTACCACAGTGCACGGAACTTAAATACCTCATTCGGGGAGGTATTCCCTACCAGTACAAGGTGTGCTTTCTAGCTTGACTTTCATTTATGGCATAAGTTTTAATTGTGATATGACCATTTCCTGCACATTTTTTCTTGCACTTAAAGAGAAAAGGAGAGAGACCTAAAGTGCTTCCTTAAAATATAATTTCCTCTTCACTTGTTTTTCATCCTCTCAGCTCAGTATTTAGTGATGAGCATTCATGTTAGTGTGATTCTGTAGCCTTCACTAACACAGGCATTTGATTGCTAAATTGGATTCTGGGTGGAAGAATGTTGTAAGAGGAATGAGGGTTAGTTATGACTGGCTAGGAACAAAGGATGCATGCAACCCAAACATGAGGGAATGTACTAAGCTTGTGTATCAATGTAAGCTGCAACCTGTATGTAGTTGGAACTTGTAGTCAGGAAATTGATGTGCAAGTTCAAAGTAAAATTTCTGAGCATAGGGCAATCAGTTGTTTCCTCATGTTTTGTTCCATTTTGATGGGCTACAGTCTCCGTGGCGTAGTGGCAAGACGCTTGCCTGCGTTCCGCGAGCGCTTTGTCTTGGGTTCGTATCCTGGCCGGAGAGGATTTACTGGATGTCAATCCTTAAAAAAAAAAAAAAAAAAAAAAAATCCCTGGACATTGTGAGCTCCAGCCTAGGCCAGTTTGTCTTTCTGTCTCATGACCCAGGGATCATCATTTAAATTTCCCTATCAGACCTGAAGAGTAGGAAGAGGGAGAGGCAAGAATTCTCAATTCGGTCACGAATAACCATTTAAAAAGCCACTTACAAGCAATGCTTGCAATTGAACAACCCACCAAGTATTGGTCTGCTGCTCTTAACAGCCGATAACTAGTTGCCTGCCTTGTTATTGCTGCAACTCGTCACCAGGTGCCAGCACCACTAGTGTAAACACAACAATAGGTGAACTCGTCTGACCTTTCCCTCGGATAATATCCTTGTGAACACCAACTCGGATGGCAAGAGATCTTTTCTATCAGTTAAGTGAAGTAAATGCTTCATGCACAATGTTTCACTGTTGAAACACTTTTTTTCACTTGTTTCTTTTCTAATGAGCTAACCGGACTGACATGGGTCGAAATGTCTTCGTCGTCAGCTCAATAGTGCATTCAGCTGCAATTCTTCCTCTTCAGCTGCCCCTTCCTCTTTTTTTTTGTTCCCCCAGGGATGGGGTTTCAGACCCAGGTGTTTGGATTCTTGAAGGGAGTGGGAAGAACGGCATGTGAATTACCCAGCTGACTGTTTATAATACATTAGTGGTGTTTCCACCTGGTGAAGGGTAGAGGCAGCAGCCTCAGCAGATTGGGGTAGCAGAGCAATATTTAGCGGTCTGTTAAATTTCAAGTGTTACTTGGAAGAGGTTTTTGAGTAGTGGAATGTACCTTTTGATGCTCATTTGGAGTTGGATTGAGAATTCTCCAGTGTATCCCTTCCTCGTGTTATGGCTTTGTAGGGGCTTTTAAACACAATTCTAACTGAATTAGGTTAGGTTGAAGTTCACAACATAATGAGTGATGTTTGTTACATTGTCTATGGGAGAAACTGTCACCAGCTCAGAAAGGAGAGTTTTATCTGTTTTCAACACTTTAAATTTATTTTGTTTTGGTGGTATGGCAGGACAGATGGGTGATAAACATATTATGTCATTACTACAGTATATCAAAGGAATTCGGATTTATCATCTGAAGATGAATTGTGTATTATTCTAGGTGATAGGTTAGTGGCTAACATTGAGTTAGGCACTGCAATAAATAATTAGTTAATATTTTTCTGTACTGAATTTGTCTACTGCAGGGTAAAGTGTGGCGGCTGCTGATAGATTCGCAAGTTGCTCCTTTGAAAGCTGCAATTCCACCTTCCTATTATCAAGATCTTCTTGCCCAGCGAACAACTTCTTCTACACTTGATGCTGCGGCCAAACAGGTAAGATATTTGTTGTAATTCAATGTTTACTTAAATATTATCCATAAAACAGGGGTCCTTCCCCTTTTCCTCCTTTTTACTAGTGCTTTTATGAGTAGTATACTACATGATAACAATTGTGATGGTGAATGATGATTAAAAATATGCATGTTATTCAGTAAAGTTAGCAGCTGGGAGGTACTAATTGTAGATGTGCTTTCAGATTGAACTGGACCTGCTGCGGACATTACCCAACAACCGCCACTATGAATCTTTCCACTCCGATGGGATAGCCAAGTTGAGGCGGGTGTTGCTAGCATTTTCACGCCATAATCCCCAAGTTGGTTATTGCCAGGTGATGATAACTATGAAATATTTGTATAGTTTCTATGTATGCTGTAGTTAACTTGGTTTACCACATTTATTTTATTTGTAATGGCAAACCTTTTTATTTTAAATGTGAAGTTATTAATGGTTTGACTAGTCGCCTCAAAATCTGCACAGTCATAAAATGTGACTACAGTACTCAAAAAGTTAATTGAGGCTCGTTCAAATAATTTACTTGGTCATTGTTTGAAACTATGCGGGTTGCATGGTGATGGTGATACTGTTACTGTAGTCGTCAAATTTGTTATATTATGAGATCCCACTAATGTTAGCTTGAGAACTGATATGCAACTATGTCGCCTTAAATTCTGGTTTGAATTAGTTAAAAAATAAATTAATTTAAGTTCAAGGCATGGATAAGCAATTGGGCCTTGTCAGCTGTTTTTTTTTTTAATAAGTTATGTCTTGGTCACTTTTGAGATCTACACTTGGTCAGTCACCCATCACCTGGGGAAAGCATAACGAGATATATCGCCCATTTAAGTCATCTAGGGTAAGGAAAACCCTGTTCTCAAACCTCCGCTGCCTTGCGGCTTTACCCACTTTTTGGGACGGGCTTCAGGAGTCAACCTCGAGGAAAAATCCAGAGTTGGAGCCCCCTAAGGCAGTTTGTTGTTGACTTCAACCTCGTTCTGGCAGCTCCTGCGACGGTGCTAGAACCAAGCATATTGGCATCTGCCTTTCCATTTGAGAATTTTAGCAACGTGGAGAGTTGCTGAAAGTGTAACTTAGAAAAGGATCATACAGGATTATATAGAAATCCTCTACCAGATCTAACTAATCGGAAGATATATGGGCTACCCGGTGTTCTCGTAAAGCATTAGCTAATCTTGCTTATCATTTCATTAAAAGGTACTTGAGTAGCACAAAGGAATCTCACAAATGTAATATATCTGAGAAAATATTTAAGTCATACAATGAGGAGTTCAGGGATGTGGATTTGATCCCATTGTACAGCTTCACTATTTTATCATAACTAATGTAATTGATCTCAAATAAATTTCTTGGAGTAACAAAACGGACCTTTTGGATAATTATTTCTTTTACAGTTTTGAATGGTCTGTTTTGTCAAAGCTTTTACATGAGTTGTAATAGAAATGGCCAAGAAATGTTGTGCACTAATAATTTTGTATTCATTTCGTTGCAGGGTCTGAACCGTTTAGCTGCCATAGCCTTATTGTTCCTTAATGAAGAAGATGCCTTCTGGTGTCTTGTGTTCATTGTAGAGTTCCTTATGCCCCCTGATTACTACAATAAAAACCTCTTGGGTTCTCAAGTTGATCAGGTAGGACATGTAGAGATTAAGGCACTGTTTTATTTTTCTATTTTATTGCTGTAGTATACAGCAGTGCTTGTACACCAGTGCACTTAGCACCAGTACGACCCAATAGGAACATTTGAAAAGATTCGTTACGCTGTAGTATACTATATTTTTCAAGGATAATTTTTATTTTTTATTTTTAAGCATGTTTCATCATATTTATTGTAGGTGAGGTTTAAGTGATTTTGCAGGGGAAATTGTAATTGTGCATGTAAATACAATATAGGCTGTACTTCGTTGGTGGCAAACCAAAAATGTGTGTTCTATTTGTTGAAAAATATGGCAATTTTCATTTAATTAGTTATTTATCCAAAGTGATGGTTAGGTAGACTACTGCTTGGCAGTCACTGTGATATTAAGTAAGGCATTGAGAGACTTTTGGTGATGTGTCAAAGTTCCTGCTTAGAACCAGTACGACCCAATAGGAACATTTGAAAAGATTCGTTACGCTATGTGCAGATGTCATCTTGCCAAGCCTGATAATTCAGTCCAGTGGGAGTTAGACACCAGAACAAATCTTTCCTTTGGGAACATTCAAGTGTTCTTCTCAGACAGGAACTTTTTGTATTCACTCAACACAAAGTGAATGAATATGCTTGCTTTTTGTTGTGTAGTAAATGTTTATTTTTATTTTTGCCTGCTGGTCAAATCCTATGGCAACACATTAAGTCTGTGTTGAACAATACTTTACTACATGCCAGTACTGTAGGTTAATGAGTCCTTGTCATACAAAATACTTGATCACCCCATGCATGTACAGAAAGGATGTACGTGGATAATGATACGATTTGTACTTCTGGCATTACACGGAGAACATACCACCATTCGTGTACAGAAAGGATGTACGTGGATAATGATACGATTTGTACCTCTGGCATTACATGGAGAACATATCAACGTTATGTTATATGTGATACAACTGTGCCAAGGCTCGAATGGGCGACCATTTTTAGTTTTTTGTCTTGCATACTATTTGTACCACGACTGACGTGGTAAGTGGACTCGATTGACAGCTGTTGCATGGATAATGAGTCAGTCACTGTAGTAAGGTAATGAATGGTGTGCCTGGTATGGTTATTTGATGTATGGACAGTACATTACAGTACAGTACAGTATAGGTAAATAGTGAACAAATCCACAAGGGCCGTGACGAGGATTTGAACCTGCGTCCGGGAGCATCCCAGACACTGCCGTTTGTTCATTTGATGCGTCACGTTATTGTGATCTCTGTGTGTGATGATGTAGGTAAATAGTATTTTGCAATATCTGCATCAATTATACTTGCTAGGAATTCAGTATAGTATTCAAGTTCATGTAAGTAATGTTTAAAAATGCAGTAAATTGTTTGTTAGATGAATGTAGATGTGTTAATATCAGGTTGCATAATTGGTTATTTCTTTGCATAATTAGTTCTTGCACATTTAGTTTGTGTGTTTATTGCATATACTATAAAAATAATTGTTAAATCACATGCAATGTCTTTTACAGTCTTGAAAGGCAAAAACAGTTAAAAAATTTACACTGTTCCAAATTAACTTGACACTGATTTTGTCACTGTAAACAGTACACATTAAGGCCTTTGCTGGTTTGTTTGAAAATTGGATCAAACTTTCAATCTCATGGATTTGGTGATTAAGCATTTTCTTGGCATCTTTTGTCAGCATAATTTTAATCTTTGTGTTTCTCTACCTTTTCAGCGAGTATTGAAGGATTTATTCGCTGAAAAGCTACCACGGCTTCACACTCATCTAGAACATCATGGTCTTGATATTTCACTGTTTACATTTAATTGGTTTCTGTGCGTCTACATTGATATTATTCCTCCAGTTACCTACCTCACAATTTGGGATTCCTTTTTGTACGAGGGGTCCAAGGTGAGTCTAAACTTGGCCATCTGTGTTGTGATAAGTCACATCAAATGACTCTCTATCTGTTTTCTTGTACACTATTTTATGTGGGGACGTCTATTCTTGGAGTGTATGTAGCATAAAGGAACAGGTTAGACATATTTAAGAGTGCATTTCAGGGTATATAAATAGCTGCTTCATTTGGGCTAAAGGACCTTCTGCAGTTTGCTTAATTCTTACATTCTTAATGCTAACCTATGTATTAGAAGTTAGACTGGTTTAAATTACTGTAGTAATCCGAGATGTATTTTGGTGTCTGGACGATTGAATATGAATAACGAATGTTATGGAAAGATAGTATCAAATGAAATCAAATCAACAAATTTGATGTGGAAAATCAACAGGAGTTTCTTTTCTAGGAGTTTTAATCACCTTTTTCTTTATTGCTTTTATTTCTGTGGGCTGATGCCTCTTCCACCCAAAGAATGGGGAAATCGGATGAGGGTGAATAATAATAATTCTGAATAATTAATGAGTGATTAATAAATTTTACTCTATACCTTATGTGAAAAGGGGAGAGATAATATACAGTTCCATTAAGTAGGGTTGATAAGGATTGGTGAAGTGCAACTGTATCCTTAAATATAAAAACAGGCTTGTCAAAATGCAATGGTGCCACTTGTCCCACACATCTATCCATAATGATTGCAGGTTTATCAAACTTTGTTCCATAAACTAAAAAGATTTACACACTTCCGTTTTTCAGGTTCTCTTTCGGTATGCCCTTGCCATATTCAAGTTGTGCGAAGAGGGCGTTTTGGAAAGATGCGACTACATGGATATTTTTAATTACCTGCGCTCTGTGCCAGAGCCCATCACAGATATTCCGAGACTACAAGAGGTAAGTACATGTTGTATAGTGTAATTTATATTTTTGTCATCTGTTCTGGCTGGTACATGAGATACAAGATGTATGCAGAGGGTAAGTATCAGGAATGAGGGCCAAGCCAATATGATTATGTAGATGTTTGCAGAAGAAATCACTTTGCATGATATTTCTAATTATCTACAGTTAGAAAAAGTCATTGGTTATATATATATATTGTAAGGTAATGATTGTTAAATGAAATGGGGGGGGGGAATGAGAACTGAAAAAACTATACAGTAATGTGCAGGCGATGAGTCACAATAACGTGGCAGAAGTATGTTGACCAGACCACACACTAGAAAGTGAAGGGACGACGACGTTTCGGTCCGTCCTGAACCATTCTCAAGTCGATTGTGAGGATTCTCACAATACAGTAATGTCTTAAGACACTTTCTTTTGAGGTATGCTTGTGCATTACCCCCGAGGTGAACAGTTGATTAAATTATTGCATGACACGTCAACCTGTCAAATAATAATTTAATAAACTATTATATAATAGGTTGAAATAATGATGATTTTAGTTTGCCATCTATCAAATTTCCTACCCCCCTGCCCCCTATAAGAATGATTTTCATTACCTTTAGAGTTATGATTTGTTCATTGCTGAAATACATAACGAAAAAATAATAATAAATTTAAGTAATAAGATGGAGTTGGCACACTAGTCATTTTAATTACTGTATTATTTGTTACCCCATATTATATGTAAAGACAAAAACAATTGAAGGTAAGTTGAAACTTGCAGTACTTTATTGAAAGATATTTTATTGCTCCAAAATTGTTGACATATCAGCATGTAAATACAAATAATGATTCAGGTATGGTATGCCAAGAACAGTAGGGAGCTTTAAAACACTGGAGTGTATAGATTGCTGCTAGATAAATCAAAGTGTTTACTCAGGACCCACCTTTACTATTACTTCTCAAGTCCAGATGATGTCAATGAGTACTTTGACTTAAGAAGACCCGAAATATTTATGCAAGACAAAGCCTTCGTAAAGATAGTTTTGGGAGGGGCAAGTACTTCACTTTGAAATATCGGTGGTATTCTATCAAACATATTTTTTTAGGATGTAGGCGGACATTAGTAGCACAACTAGAAACATTTCTTCCACTATCCTTATACACTACAGGCTGAGTGTGTGACTTGAGAAAACGGTTTGCCAACTATTGACAGATTGTGTTGCGTCGTTTATAATGGCCTTTTTGACAATTTGAAGGTTTAATATTTGTTTAGAGTTAGAAGATGGTTGTCCTTGCAGCGTATAGATATTGTTTTATTGGTTAGTTTCAAAGTTTATAATTTCTTATGTCTATAATATTTTTAGTTTAACATACTGAAATTGGAATGTTTAAACTAAGAGGCCTATAGTTTGATTATTTGTTCCTACTTGCACCACATCTCGAGCACTGGCTAAGAAAGATGGCTGGAAGTGTGGTTTGTGTTGTGCAAGGGCAACATGAGGGCTTGTTGGCACAGCATGAGGGGCCTGTTGGCACAGCATGAGTGGGGCCTGTTGGCACTACACTTGACACAACACGTATCACTCATCTAAGTCTAAACTAATTTTCAACAGAACCTAAAAACAGATCATAAGTTTGTTTTACATATTATAAGTATCTATACAGTACTTCTTTATCGAATGTCGTTTTTTCAAGTTTACAAGTACATAGAGAAACACGAGGAGAATATTTGCAAATGATTTTGCCATTAGCCATCGCATCACATAACTGGAATGTGTTTTGTCCTCGGCTCATGTATGGTTGTAGGAAAGTTGTGTGAAACAACTGCACTTGGTGTAAATGGCCAAATGCTCGAGAAAATATTGAAGCCGGACAATGGCACGAAACCTGCATTGCAGAACTTCTCGGCACTTCAGTATTTTCTCGTAGATCTACCACATTCTTGTAATTATATTTAGCATAATGCTTTTTTACTTTGATGGTTCTCTTTATTTATTACTTTATTTTAGCCACATAACACTGTTTATAGCAATGTGATGAGTCCATACATTCAGTAAGTACATAGCACACCATGTTAACTTTTAAATATAATTATCATTGAACTATAAAACGATATGACCCCAATTATCACAAATCAGAAGGGTTTATCTAGCCTAAATGGAACAAGCCAGATAATTGTAATTATTTTATTAATGAACCATGAAGATCGAGGTCCGATCATCAACAGTATTGTTATCTTAAAAATATTCTACAATGGGCAGGTTGTGGAATAAGTAATACATTTTGTGAAACTTTGTTAATATGATTAAAGGAGTTCGTGGCGATGAATGGAGCTGGTCAAATAACGCAAACTCGTACTTTCAAATGATCATGTATAGTATCTTGTTTTTTCTATGATAAGCTGGTCCATTTAAAATTTGTGTAGGCCTATTCATTCCTATTTATCTTAGTTTTTGTAACAAAATTCATACTGTTACTTCCAGTCAAGAATGTTGCACGCTGACATTTTTGTTCAATACTGAGATGTCAATGTTCACAAAATGCTCCTACTTTTTTGCCTATATGTACACTTAATTTAGCAAGAATACATTAGACAGAGAGAAAAGTTTCTACAGTGAGTATTAAGATGACAACCACAGATGTGCACTGAATATTTCTGTATGAAGTAGAGTGTTACACCAGAAGTACTGTACTGTAGTGTAGTGTACAGCACTGGACTTGTCTGCCCTCCGATCTCTGGTGTTAACTCTGAGAAGCAGCAGTCTAGCTTTATTCATCTATAAGCTGATATTTGTCTGAGAGAACTTTAAGACATGATAATATTTTATATATATATATATATATATATATATATATATATATATATATATATATATATATATATATATATATATATATATATATATATATATATATATATATATATATATATATATATATATATATATACATATTCATGCATACTTGCTTGCATGCTTGCATACTTGCATACTTACATACATACATACATATACATACTTACATACATACATATAATGCCCTTGTAAGAGTTAAATGTGGGATCTTTAAGATAAGATTTTATCATTGAGAAAAATTAAAGATTCCTTTAATATAATTTAAGAACATGGTCTCAAATGTTTAAGAGCGAAACGTTTCAGATTTTACCTACAGGTTCAGTATTTAATATAAATGATTCACTCTTGATTATAGGCAGTCTTCAATTGGGTACAAGAATAAACTCGCAGGAGGATGTATTTCTTAACTTAAAAACGTTTGTTTGTGGTTGTAAAGCGTTAATTCCTATCCTTTTACAGTTCTCGGCTGATGCAGAGAATGTATATTGTATATAAATTTGATGCATCTGTGTAGTGCCGAAGCAGCAAGTCGAATTTTATTGGATTTTGTGCATTTTTGTGTTTTGTTCGCAAGAGAAAACGTGGGCATGTGTAGGCATAGGTGTTAACATTATAGGTGCTAGTGTTATATGCCTAAAGGGCTATAATTACTGTTCTTGTTTCTGCCATGTTCTCCGACATAATGTGTTACAAATGATAGCTCTCAGCTTCCTTGAAGCTGGTGAATTTCAGATTCCTAGCAGCTAGTAAATCTGATTCCTAGCAGCTAGTGAATTTCAGCTTCTTAGTGGCTGGTGAATCACAGCTTCCTAGTCACTGTTTGTCTCACAGCTTCCTAGCAACAATAGCACGGTGTAGAGCCTTGTTCCTCTTGTCACGCCTTTCCCTCTTCTCCTTTAGCTTCTCCTTGCCCTTCTCCTTACGCAGAGACTTCTTCCAGCCATGCTTCTTTGGGCTAAACTTCTTGGGAGGCTTGTGAGCCTTGGCCTTGGTAGATGGGGTGCTTGGTTGTGCATGGGAGGAAAGCACAGCAGCAGCAGCAACAAGAGGGGAAGGCTTGTGGTGCATCTTGTTGATCTTGTGAACTTTAGGGGGTCGTGCGGTCACATGAATCAGCCTCTCTGACTCCATGGGTATGTCGTCCTGCCAAGAAAAAGCATAATAGTGTAATGGATGGGAATTAAAACTGTTAGTGATATTGTGTGCTTTACAGTACAGTAAATGCTTATGATTAGCTCCGTGTTTGGTAAAATGTATCTATGGTGGTTTAGCATACATTTACAGTATATAGATAGCGAAAAAAAGACCGTTTTTAAATATTGTGAATTATTCTGGTATCCCTGGTTAGAGGGATACCTTATGGATTTGTCTTACGGGATATTGTTAATATTTTTAAGAAATAGTAGTACAGTACTGTATATGCAAAAATTAAATGCCATAGAACACTGAGCTCGAGCAAGAGTACTAAACGTTTAAGGGAAGTACAGTACTGTATATCATATCATTCCGTGATTGCAAATGTTAAATGAAAATATGTATTGCTTCTTTTCGCCATCACAGGTGGCAATTTATGGAAGTATTTATATAATGCAGCTGCATACAAAAATGAAAGCTGGAAGTAAGTACACATAACTGCAACTAATGTGAAAATGAGGAAAGTTGTTGTAAAGAAGGGAAAGAAAGTCCATAACATCACTCATAAAGTAGCTCACACTTGTAGGACACACTGGAAATATAAAAAAAGACACCAGCTGAAAAAAAAGTTTTAACAGTTAACAAAAGTAACATTGAAAATAAAATAAAATACTTGAAGAAGCACCGTCACAGAAAACAAATAAAATCAACACTACAGAGACACTTTATTACAAGGAGAAGGTTGAACTTGGATTCTTCTACCTTGGTGCCATTTTTGCCCTCTGCATCAGCCTTGTGCTCAGTAATGTTGGGGCTGGTGGACACCTTGGGCGTTCGGTTGGTGAGGAGGTGAGGGGCTGCGTCCCCACCACGGGGCACTCTGTTGGTTACTAGATGCTTTCCTACGTGCTCATCCCTCCTCGGCTGCTACGAGAGGAGCCTTTATTAGCACGCTGGTGGGTTTCACTTGGCTGGCTCAGAGGTTAATTGGTGCTAACTTGTAATATATGTGAAAACATT